CCCACCTGTCTGCAGTACTCCAGCACGCGCTGCGGGTCCCGGAGGCAGCGCTGCGAGCGCTGAGCGTCTGGTTCCCAGCGGCCCGTGCGCAGGTCCCGATGAAGGGTTAGAAGCCCGCATAGTCCAGCCACCTGAGCCGACCCCCGGGCCTGGGGGTGTGGGCGAAGGGGTCAGTGAGGGCCCGGGAGGCCCCAGAACCAGCCCCCTCTACCAAGTACCGAGCACCCGCCTGGGGAGAGGTACGGTTTCCCCGGATACAGCTCCTACTGGGCGGGGCGCCCTAGCTCTCCTGTTGCTATGGCGACTCGGGTCCCCCAGGATTCTCCAGGCCTTGTTGTGGGCAGGACGAGCTCCACGCCCACCCCAGCGCAGCCGCCCCAGCGTGGAAGGGGTTAAACCCGAATCGCGGGGGAGGAGGTCGGAACCCAGGCGCTCTGGCCCCTCCTCCCTCCATCCCTAGCTCGGGCTCCCATTCTTGGGTGCAAAGATGACAGACGAGGCCTGCTTCAGGCCCTGCAGGCCTGCACGCCAAGCCTTTGAGGGCCGGAGAGCTGCCTCCTGGGTCGGGGGGCGGTGGCTGGAGGCCTAAACTCCTGGGTGCTGGGAGGCTGCGGGGCCCTCATATGGGTCCAGAGGATGGAAAGGGACCCAGATTCCTGGAGCTAAGTGTCTTACTGGGTCCTAGGTCCAGGTGGGGAGGGGCTGGGACTGAGTCACTTAGGTCGAGAGGGTCTGAGGGGGCTGGATTTCTGGGACCAGAAGCTCTGGAAAAGCCAGTTCCTATGCTGGGGGCGGGAGGTGGCTGGGACGACACATGATGGGGAGCTGGGGCCTGGACTCCTGGGTCTGTGAATGCCTAGTGCCGTTAGGGGCGCCTGGGGGCCGGCCACCTGGCTGGAAAGGCCGCACGTTCCGCGCCGGGGTCCAGAGGCCGGGTCCCGCCCCTTCCCCCATCCCCCAGGACCCGGCCGGGCCTCACCTCGGCCGCGCCGGGGCTCCCA